TACCTGTGGACTTCACTTATCCAAGTTAAACTCATCTTTCCCCCACATTCTCAGTATTATTAGTCTTAGTTACTTTTCTCATTGCTAAAACAAAACACCCAATACCCAAAGTTAAATGAGGAAAGGTTTATTTTGGCTCACAGTTTATAGTGGCTCACAGTTTGAATTCATAGTTGGTTGGCCCCAAGGCAGACAGGAATGGCAGAGGGCATTGTAGAGTAGATGGGCAGAAGGCAGCAAACAACAAGATTACCCTTAGGCTGGGTAGTACTCACACTCTTAATCCTAGCATTGGTGAATCATTCCCAGCATCACATCCTTGATCTCAGCAGCACATACCCTAGATCTAGCCACCTCTGAAAAGCCCCACCTATCAATGCGTGAGGTTTTGGGGGGACCATTTAGATACAAGCCATACTATTAGTAAAACAGTCTATACATTAGAAACCCAGGAGAAGCTTTAGCTTTTCCTTCTCTAGCCTACCTTTGAAATTTCTCTCCAGTCTACCCCCCTTTCCTACAGTCTTATGACCTTGGAGGTGGAGATATAGATAGATAGATAGATAGATAGATAGATAGATAGATAGATAGATATAGATATAGATATATAGATATAGATATATGAATTCAAGCTGAGTGTGGTGGTGTACACCTGTAGTCCCAGCACTTGGGAGGCAGAAGCAGGAGGATTGTCATGAATTTGAGGCCATCCTGAACTACAGAGTAAGACTCTGTTTTAAAAAAGGCCATGTAGGGGCTGGAGAGATGGCTCAGTGGTCTAAGGCACCTACTTAGAACAAGCTTGGCAAAGCATCAGGGACCGCGGTTCGATCCCCCAGCACCACATGCCAGCCAGCCCTGCCCCCTGGTGGGCTGAGCTGGCCACACACACACACCACTCTCTCTCTCTCTCTCTCTCTCTCTCTCTCTCTCAAATAAATAAAAAATAAAAAAAAATAAAAAAGGCCATGTATCAGTCAGTGTTTTACTAGAGAAACAGATATAACACAAGTTACACAAATGTATAAGAAACTACAAGATCAGCTTACAGTGGTCAGCCACAGAGTTGGGTGAGTTAGTGTGTAGAGGGCATCAGCATACTGGACACTGAAGGTTTCAGCCCAAGAGCTCTCTGCAGTGTGTCTCATGCAAGTCTGCATCAGCAGGCTGATGAGTCTGTGACAGAAGGCGGAAGACAACAGAAAGCCAAAGTCTATACTGGGAGGCTGAAGGATCCTGTGCTAGAAGGAAGCCCAAGCTAAAAGGTGAAGACTGGGAACTACTCTAGAGAACAGAAGCAAGTCCATCCTTCCTCGTTTCCTCTTTATATCATCCAGGAACCCACTGCCCTAGAGTGGGACCTCTACACCCTAGGGTGGAGAATCGCTGAGCCTATTTAGTTAAGCTTCTCAACTTCTGAAGTTGACACAATCAATCAACCATTATAAGCCAGCCTGAGGTCCATATGAGACCCTGTGTCAAACAAACAAAAAGAGAATTTAAGCTTGGAGTGGGGCTGTCTAGTTTAAATCTTGGCTTTTAGCTGTGTGATATTTCTCTTTTTAGCTGTGTGATATTTCTAAGCCTTGGTTTGTCATCTGCATCATGAAAATTAAATAAGATGGTACTTGCAAGATAATGCTAAATATAGTATCCAGTATATAATAAGCAGTCGATACACTCTGATATTATGTTAGTATATGTCTTAGTTATTTTCTCATTGCTGGGATGAAATATTCAACACCCACAAAATTAAAGGAAAGGTTTATTTTAACTCAGTGTGTAGAGGTTTCAGTCCATAGTCAGCTGTCTCCAAGGCAGGGCAACAAGAGAGGGGCACAGCAGAGGGAAAACAGCCCATGGCATGCCAGGGAGGAAGCTGAGGAGCATCAAGGGAGAAGGATATGTACACATACACTCTTACAGGTCAAGCCTATAGTGACCCACCCCCCTCCCACCAGGCTTCACTTCCCAACATCACACCCAGCAATAATCCAGCATCACACACCAAAGATCCAGTCGCCTCCCCAAGTCCCCATCTATGGGCACATGAGGCTTTGTGGGGGTGGGGGCGGTTGGATCCAGATATAAACCATAATAATACATAATTCTGGTGTATAAGAATGCATCTCTAAGCTGGGCATGGTGGTGCACACCTATTACCCCAGCATTCAGGAGGACTGTCTTGAGCTCAAGGTTAATGTAGGATACATAATGAGTTCAAAGCCAGCCTGAACTATATAGAGACCCAGTCTTAAAAAAATAGAACAAGGGCCAGCCAAATAGCTCAGCAG